CAAATGTGGGGAAAGCACTTGGTTATAAAACATAAATGCAAAATATTTTTTCAACATTTTAAATTAGTTAAGTTCAGTGTTCCCTAATTTTTATCTTCCCATAATGTTTCTGTTGAAGGAGTCTTGAAATATAAAAACACATTTGGCATACTTATTGGGATTTTGTTTTCCCCTAGGCCTGTGTGGCTCCCCAGTGCCAGTATCCCTTGCTTTACTGAATAGATGTTAAGCAAGTTGGCTTTGAAACAAGTTCTCTGGTGTAGATTGTGTGTTCTGATTGATTGCCATTACAAAATTGGAAATGCATTTCCATGGAAAATTTCTGAATCCCAGTAAGTTTAGTTGGAAACTTAATGACAAAATTATAAAATGATAGAAAATGCTAAACTCTCAGGCTTGAGTGGTGGCTCAGTGCTTAAGAGTGCTTGCTGTTGTTGCAGAAAGTCTGGTTCATTGCTCAGAACCCACGTGGTGGCTCTCAATTGTCTGTACCTCCACTTCCAGGGGATCCAGTACCCTCTCTGCCTCATGAGATCTTGCATGCAGGTGGTGTCCATAAAGTCACACAATCACTGACATGTACAAATAAAAAAATGAAATAAAAATATGCTAAGTACCTTAGTATACTGGTGGCTTTACATTTGCTAAGAATTGCAATTCTTTTTTGTTTGTTTTGTATTTGTTGGTGGTCATGTTTTTTGAGACAGGTTCTCTCTGTAGCCCTGGATGTCCTGGAACTCACTCTGTAGACCACACTGCCCCACCACTACCCAACACGAATTGTGATTCTTAAATTTTGTTTTAATCTCCTATCCTCAAAGATTTTAGTCTCTTGAACACTTACTGTCATTTCCTATCTCCAAGTTTTTATGACTGCTTCCTTCCATTGCTCCTTGGCCCACTTGGCTGATCATTAGAAATGTTTTCGTTCTTTGTGTTACAAATGTGAGGGTGTTCATTTTATCTGGGTATTAGCATTTATATGCATGGACCATAATGCCACATCTGCCAGGAGGTACAGCCATCCAACACATTTCAAACTTCTTAAAGTTAGGCACTGTATAGTAACACAGTATTCTTGGTATAGGTTTTAAATTCTGGATTTTTAGTTATTATACAATGAGAAATGCCTAGGAAAAGTTTGAGAATATAGATTTGTTTTGGTTTGGGTTTTGGTTTTTCAAGGCAGTGTTTCTCTGTAGCTTTGGAGTCTGTCCTGGAACTCACTCTGTAAACCAGGTTGGTGTCGAACTCACAGAGATCCTCCTGTCTCTGCCACCCAAGTGCTGGGATTAAAGGCATGTGCCACCACCGCCCAGTGAGAATATAGTTTGATCTTAAGTCATATTCTAACCTGTACAGAGTTTCTGCTTGAAACTGAAACACTTGGCTGAAGTATTCATTTTTTTTATGTAGTTTTTTTTTTAACTAAATGTGATTGTCATCACTTTACAGAACTAAAATTTCACAAAATCATCCTACTCTAAACCAATACAGTTTGTTTTCTTTTCTGTCACATTGCCTATCTGTAGAGATGGGGTTTAGGCATGATCCATTTCAAAGTGTCCTAACAAAACCAACTTTGTGACTTTCATCCCCATGTTAACCATTTCCCAAGGGAATTTTATTTCTCCAACAACAGATTGAAGCAGTGGTCCTAGCTGGCCAGCAGTGACAAGAAAATCAAACTGGATCCAGATGTTTATATAATCCATCCCAAAACAGGAAGCCTGACTCAGAACCCAGAGTGTGGCATAGAGATCACTATAATCTTATATGTAAGGCCATTCTTACTGTAGTGACTACTCCTTGGGCACCCTCACAAACTTCTTAAGATAATTACAAACTTCTCGTTTTATTTTGGAATCCTTTGTGTGAATGTACTGAAAAAAAATTGACAATTAGATGCATTCATTGATCTGAATTGGAAAGACTTCAGTAATTTATTGAATGTGGAAATATAAATCATTTACTTATCTGGTGTGTTGAAAATTTATGGTTGAAGTAGGAAGTAGAAGTCTACAGTGTCTCATAAAATGAGGATGAGGACCAGAACTGAGCACTCAGACCCTTCAGATAGACGTCATGGGCTGACATTCTGCTTTCTTCCCTTCTCCTCCCCATTACTCTTCTTGCCAATCCTACTAGTGCCCCATTTTTCGTTAGGTGTTATTCTACCTTTCACCAGGCCCTTCTCCCCTGTAGCCATCCTTGTTTAACTTTTCCTAAAACTCTACACATAGAACTTAGAACATGCATCTGTTTTCCAGCATTTGATTCAGATACTCGATCAAGAGCAGTCATTACAGTAAGAATGGATAAGGACTACCTGACATAGAAGATTACAAGGAAAACGTTCTGTCCTCTCAGCACATGCCAGCAGCTTATGCAGATGGGGGTGCTACTGTGTCAGGACTGTCCTGAATACTCTGTATTAATTTACCACTTTAGTCAGTCCTTTCACAGAGTCCAAGAATATTAGGTCCTACATACATCCTCATCCTATAGTTTTTTTAAGCAACCAGGTTTTAAAGGTTAATCAACTTACTTATTATAATCACTTTGTAGTTGGCTGAATCCCACAGGTCTTGAGCTTCAGAACCTATGCCCCAACCAGCCCTCTAGACTCCTACCTGATTAGTGAGTGATATTATTTTTAATTGTTTTAGATTTATTTATGTGTAGGGATGTTTTGCTTGTATGTATATTTGTGCATCCCATGCATGGCTGGTGCCCTCAGAGGTCAGAAGAGTGGCTGAGATCCCCCACAACCAGTGTTAGGTGGTTTTTAGCTACCATGTATCCTGGGAACCAAAACCAGGTCCTCTGCAAAGAACAACAAGTGCTCTTAACCACTGAGCCATCTCTCCAACCTCACTTATTATTATTCATTACATTATTCTTTGTATTCTTATATAGGTGAGGAACAGAGACTGTCAAAGAATAATTTAAAGTTATAGAATTAATTCATTAAATAAAAATGTTTTTGAGTGATTATCTGCAAAGCTAATAAGTAGTGAATTCTCAATCAAAAGCTCATGTGTTACATTGTACATTATTTCTGTTTCCTCCTGGTTGAAATTACCTTAAAAAAATATGTAGTCAGCAAATGTTGTCATTGTTGTTTTCTTATTGATGGAAGAGTATATTTCCTGAGCACCTGTGTACTGTCTTGCTCCACCAATCAGGCTCTTGTGTGTTTATGACTAAATTACAAGATAGAAAACTTGGATAGAAACAGGATTTAGGCTGTTGCTGCAAATATTGCCTCCTCTGATTTAAAACCAGATATTAATATTTCAGGGAGTTGCTTTGAAGATAAAAGTTTTCATCAATTAGGCCAGTATATGAAAGCAATTGAAAATGGGACAAAGAAACTTCTTAACTATGTGAAAAGAGCTAGCTAGAAATGTAGCTGAGTTCATATAGTACTTGCCTAGCATGATAAAGTCTTAGATTTGATCTCCTGGCACCACATAACACCAGCCATGATAGTATATGTCTATAATCCCAGCACGCTAGAAGTGGAGGCAGAAAGATCTGTTCATGTCTACTACATAGCAAGTTCAAGACCAGCTTTGGCCCATGAAACTCCATCTAAAAATAAAAAGAGCATACTTGACACAGTAGAAAACTATGAATGTCACTGACAGTTTTCATTCCAGGATTATTTTTTTCATTCCTTACCATGTTACAGATTCCCTCCCATCCAGAAAGGATAAAGAATTAACTATCTCTTAGAAGGTCAGAAGCTATAGAGGCTGGTTTTGGTTTCCAGACAGAGTCTCTCTGTGTAGGTTTGGAGCCTGTCCTGAAACTACTTTGTAGACCAGGCTGGCCTCAAACTCACAGAGATTCACCTAACTCTGCCTCTGCCTCCCAAGTGCTGGGATTAAAGGTGTGCATCACCACACCCAGCAAAGTTATTTATTTATTTCTGTTTTTATGTATATTGGTGTTTTTTGCCTGCATGTATGTCTGTGTGAGGGTGTTGGACCCTGGAGTTCCAGACAGTTGTGAACTGCCATGTGGGTGCTGGGAATTGAACCCAGATCCTCTGGAAGAGCAATCCATGAGTGCTTTTAACCACTGAGCCATCTCTCCAGCCCATCAGCAATTTCTTTTTTGTTTGTTTGTTTGTTTGTTTTGGTTTTTTGAGACAGAGTTTCTCTGTGTAGCTTTTGGAGCCTTTCCTGGAACTCACTCTGTAGCCCAGGCTAGCCTCGAACTCACAGAGATCGACCTGCCTCTGCCTCCCAAGTGCTGGAATTAAAGGCGTGCACCACCACCGCCCGGCCATCAGCAGTTTCTTGAGGCTGTTTTTTAATATAGGAAATGGAACATGGTTTCAGAAAGAGACTCCAGAAAGAAAAGCAGAAATACAATCATGTAAATAAAACAAAAATGCTAAAAGTAGAGATTGCTTCTAAGTAATTGTCTGACACCCACTACAAGTAGACATGCTTTTTATAGAGGGTTGGATAGTTGTATGTATACAAGAATTGGACTAAGTGCAAAAAACTCACCATCATTTCCTTTCTTCTACATGACTACACAACTGAGTTTGTTGGTTTAAATGTGGTTTTGGCCATCAATTGATGACTTTGCTACTGACATCATTAGCTCCACGTGTTTGCCTAGTATAACTAAATGCCTCCTGGAAACTGACAGTATTAAATGATTCTCTAAATAGTTCTGCCATCATCATTTATTTGTTTCTTTTTTGGAGCTAGCCTTAAATAATTGGCTTTTGAATTCTTTTTTAATTATTATACAGCAGCAAACCCATTGTAATTCATATAGCCACATTCAGAGTTTGCAAATGACTTCACCATGCCACTAAAGTTTCAGAATGAAAATCAGTGTCACAAGAATATTTTAAGTGACAGCAACAAAGATTCTGAGCCATTTTCTTCCTGTACCTGAAATTAGGAAGGCTTAGTGCTCTTCTCTTATCTCTTGACATTAGGTGGCAGGTCCATAAACTCTGTGCTTTTTAGGTTGTACGCCCGAAGAATGATGTTTCCAGAGCTCCAGAGAAGGCTTGGAAAATAGTTAAGGTGAGTTGAGCACCTGGTTACGGTGATGGTATCACCAGTCTTCATGCTTGTCTCACCGCAATCCCTGAGATGGACACGTGCACCCAGGGATAAGGGCATGGGTGTGTTGCCTTGACTCCCTTCTTACATCCTATGTAACCCTAGGGTATGAGGCATAGAGCCACGTGGTGTTCAGTAGTTAACTAATTAGTAGGACTAACTAAAGACTAGCTAATGTGATCTCAGTCTAGTTTCTTGATTATAACATTTTTGATCCCTGAAAGGGTAAGTTTTACTTACTACATTAAATGGTATCTGTTACTGGACAGTAACTAGCACACACCTGTGCCAAAATATGTTTCTGGCTGACACCTTTAAGAAGCATGCAGAGTAAACAAAATTCTTAGCTTCCTAGTTCCTCACCTCTGCCTTTATCCTCTCACAAACTTTATACAGCAACTTTTTTGTTTTAAACCCTAATCATACCATCCTGTGCACTTGGTACAAGGCTTTGTTATAACACAAAATTATAAATAAACCCTTAAATATTTGTTCATAATGCTCTCTTCAATCCATTGTCTCAAACTTTCCAGTCAAGCCTTCTTCCTTTGCCATAACCTTGTTTGCATCTTTTTTCAGTGGGTTTGGAAAAATAATACCTAGGATTTTAGTGTGGTATTATCCACAGAAGACTAGTGTAACAGAAGCTTGGCTCCAGACATGGAGTGAGTTGGCAGCCAGCAAGAGCAAAGCTGTGTCAGGACAAATGTCCACTCTTCATCTTCTCTCGTTGGCTTTCAGCTGGTTGCACCACAGGAGTCTCTATGAGCTGTGTATCCTGTGACCAATAACTGGTGCACTCGACCCGGGTCCCTCTTGGCTAGGGACAGCCTGTCGGGAGGCATTAGGTTCATGCTGCTGAAGATCCTTAGTCAGTGGCTCCCTGAAGGAAAGTGAGGCAAATAGCCAGATTCTGTTGAACAGGTGGTAGTTAGACCTTAGCTCTGCTTGTGGGGGTGGGAAGGAAAGAGTCTCCAAAATTACCAGTCTTGCTGGTTTTCACACTACCTGTGTACTTCTCTGTCCAATAAACGGTTGTTTAGAAACGTGTCCAGAATTATCTCTGGCAGCATCTGGAGTTCTCTAACTTTTCTACCTTCCTTTAGCAGTCTGGATTTGGGCCCATGTCAGGAATGGAAACCCCACTGGGATGCAAGCAAAAGAGGAAACATGTTCTTAGCCATGCATCAGTGGAGGCCCCTACTGGGAGAGGGGATTATCACAAGCAGCAGGCAGCCCTGCACCCCAGCCTGCCGAGCTCCTGCTCTGCCACAGGATGTGGAGCAAAGGAAATGGGAGGCCAGAGTGGTTGCTCCAAGTTTCTTTACACAATAGGTTATTCAAGCAGATTGGGAATGCTTCTTAAGAGATTTGTTAGGTCCGTGTCCCCTTAACAAGATGGCCACCACAGATGGTGAGTTCAGATACTGTTTTTACAGTACAAATTGAAGATTCATATTTGACTGAGATTCTGCTGATTTGGGCAAGCATATTGCTCAGCTATTTCCACTTAGTTTCCAACTTAAATTAAATTCTGCCAAAGGATTTTTTTGTCTTAATTTCATTCCTATATTTAGTAATTTTATTTTTTACTTTAAATGCTATGGAAAGGTTGGCTAAGATTAATAAAGATCTATTCAACATCACTAAGCTTGCATATTTAATATGCAGCAATGACGTTTGTACCAATAATTCTCTTGCTATAATGTTAACTTTATTACAGTGTTCCTGTTTTATTGTGCTTCAAATGTCAATGAAAGAACTCAGTGTCCTTCCTTCCAAATGGTTCAGTTAAGTAATGAAATGTTGCATTAGTTCATTCTTCTCTACCTCAGTGTGCTACCAACACCTTCCATTTTTAACAGCATCCTCATATAGACAGCACTGGACTGACCACAAGACAAAAATAATGAAAATTGCTTGCTTACTCACACATAATGCACAGTTGCATGTCCAGGTCCCAAATTCTTTCCTGAGTAACATTAGCACCTTTGTCATAAGGCAACTGTCCTGTGTGGGGCACTGTCTCCATGTGGGTGCTTTTTGAGCCAGATTTTTTCAAGTTACAAGTCAAAGCCTTAACTGACAAGTCACTACAGTAAATTAAAATAGTGCTTTAAAATTCAACTGGAGATGGGTTATGTTACCAATTTTATATTCTTTGATGTAAGTTTGTAAGAATAAGGTGGTTTGAAGAAGGTCTGTCACCTGATGACAGAAGTCTTTGCTGTTGATTTCCACTGCACTGCCAATTTTATGCATTGAGCCTCTGCACAGTGTGCTAAAGCCTTTGAGAAGTTTAAACATCTATAGAGAGCCTACGGGTATTAACTTGCTGTAATTTTCTGAAAATTCATTATCCAGAAATCTTAATTCATTATAACGGCTCTTATGAAAACCTACAGAACTGGGTTTCTCTTATTCTCATATTTGCACACAATGAGAGATTCGTTGTTTCTAATTTGTTTCATGTGGTGCTTCTGAGTACATCTCACAGAGGGCTGTTATTGAATCTCTGTGACTGTCATTATATCCATCAACCTCTAGGAACTAACATTCTGGGTTTCCCAGTTCTGTAATCTACTTCAGATGTAAGAATTGACATAATTAGCTTCTCACAAGTTATAACCAGAATGCAGCAGATACCTAATGCCAAGTATTGGCTTGGGGGTGGGGGGCAGTTTAAAAATTAGCACAGGATTTACTTTCATTCTTTATTAAATTTACAGCCAAATATTTTGTTGCTATTTTTATGTTAATTCCTTCTGTTTTATTTGACTCCTTTTAAAAACTGTACATAAGAACATTGAGGAAATGAGAAAAATGAAAAGATAGTTGAAGCTGTCTACCTATAAATGCACAGGCAACATCTGTCATTAGATGAGTTCAGAAGATGGAGAGTACATTGTACCACTGATGCTGTCTATTCACATACAAACACTCTTTCCTGAAACTGAAAAGAGCCTTCTTCATAGTAAAATAACAAGGATTTATTAAGATGATTATTTTAGAAACATGTATTCTCAAACTGTAATGACACTTTCTGATATTTATTGAAATTCCATATATTTCATGAGCTGTTTTAATGTGTCAGAGTTAAAATGGGTACCTTGTAGCTTCTAAGGCAGCAACTGTTTAGAAGTAGAAAGAGTTGGTATGCAGGAGGCTGTGCCCGTAGAGGTGGTAGAGGCCAGCCTAACCTGCATGAGGCAGTAGGTTCAGTTCCCAGTACCACAAAAAGAAAGGAAAGGAAGAAGAGAGAGTTGATGGTTCTGGGTAACTCAAGTGTTAAATGGTCTTTAAATACAAAACCCGGAACTAGATATTGGGGTAAATGCTGAATGATCGGAGAAACAAGCCACAGCCACCACCTCTTACCACAGCAACTCCTCAGCCTGAAAAAGCCCCAGCCGAAAGGACTTCAGCCAAAAAAGCCTGAGGTTCCTGTCTCCTCACACTTTGTATACCTTTCTCCACCCAGCCAGTGTGCTTGCCAGCACTGGGGTTAAAGGTGTGTGCCACCACTGCCTGGCTTGTTTTCTCCTAGACTGAGTCAATCTCATATAGTCCAGGGTGGCTTTGAACTCAGAGATCCAGACAGATCTCTGCCTCCTGAGTGCTAGGATTTAAAGGTGTGTGCCTCCACTGCCTGGCATGTATGTTTAATCTAGTGGCTTATTCTGTTCTCTGATCTTCAGGCAAATTTTACCAGGGTACACAATATATCACCACAGTTCTATGTCATGAAATATTGACATAGTTATTTTACCCCCTTAACAAAGGCTATGACTAGAATGTGTTAATTGGTTCAACACATACATAAAGATTTCAAAATTACTAATTAAAATTTCAAAGGTTTATGGTCTTGATGGTTATCTTTATTCTGTTAAAATCTCCATGAAGGGTTTGGATCCCCAAAACTCACATAAAAGCAGGCAGGCAGAATAATTCCAGTGCTCCAGATTAGGAGATAGTCAATCCCCAGGACAAGCTGGCTAGCAAAAATGGGCACACTCCAGGTTCAGCAAGAGACCCTTTCTCAATAAATGAAGTAAAGTATGATCAAGGAAGACAAATGATGTCACTTTCCAGTCTCTGCACAATCTTAGTTATGCAATTATGTGTATGCGTGTGCATGCGCAGACACACACACACACACACACACACACACACACACACACACACACCAAGTCTCCAAGAGAAATACATCTTCCCTTTCTGTTACTTTTGATGTGTAAGGCCTTCTTTTGCAAAGAGTATTATTAGCTGAGCATTCCAGAGTCTGCTAAGCAGAAAGGCCTATGAAAAGGGATAGTGGGAAGTAACTGCCAAGTGCCAAGGTGTTTGATAGAGGATTATCATTCAGTCATCCCTAAAACCTATTAAATAATGTTTGTTATGAATTACTCTTGATTATTATTTTTGTTTTACCAATAAGGAACCAAGATTCAAAGGATTTGAGGAACACCTAGTTAGTGGCTGAGTAAGAATTCAGATCTAGGGCTAGATGGATGGCTCGGTGGTTAGGAGCACTGGCTGCTCTTCCAGAGGACCTGGGTTCAGTTCCCGACACCCACAAGGCAGCTCACAGCTGTCTATGGCTCCAGTTCTGAGGGAGAGGGGCAGTCCAACACCCTCACACTGACAAATGTGCACATGAAATAAAAATAAAGTATTTTTTTAAGTGCCTCATCAAAAAAAAGAAGAATTCAGATCCAAATGTCTTTGGAACCAAAGCCTATTCTTTCTTTTGCTACGTTCAAGACCATGTTCTAAGCACTGTTGTGCTATTGGTTTTTTTTTTTTTTTACTCTTTACTTTTTGAGGGGCCCACTACCCAGCTCCCAAATAGATACACAGAGGCTTATTCTTACTTATAAATGTCCAGCCTTAGCTTGGCTTGTTTCTTGCCAGCTTTGCTTAACCTAATTATCCCATCTACCTTTTGCCTCTGAGCTTTTTCCTTTTCTTACTTCTGTATATCTTACTTTCACTCTTACTCTGTGGCTGGCTGAGTGCCTGGCCCCTTCTTTTCTCATTCCTTGGATCTCTCTTGCTTTTCTTCTATTTATTCTCTGTGCCTACCAGGCCTTCCTATCCTTTCTCTTGCCTTGTTGTTGGACATTCAGCTCCTTATTGGGCCAATCAGGTGTTTTAGACAGGCAAAATATCACAGCTTCACAGAGTTAAACAAATGCAACGTAAAAAAATGTAACACATCTTTACATCATTAAAACAAATGTCCCATAGAATAAACAAATGTAACACATCTTAAAATAAAATTCTACAACACTGCTGAACAGACATTTCCCCTCCCCTCGAATTACACAAGCTTAAATAGTGGGTGAAACTTTTATTCACATGAAAAGCTGACACTACTAGATCATACTTAGTATATGATATTATAAGTATCTATAATAGACTTGAAACATTGGATGCTCCCAAATTTCCAAAGAAGAAAGTTCTTCTTACCTAATCTTGGAGAAAACTTTCTCCAGGAAATAGTTTTGCTGTTTACAACACAGCAAAAGTTTGCCAGTTCCCACATGCTTAGTGAATGGGGTTTTAAATACAAGATCCTGTTTCAAAAAAATAAAGTAGAATTGGCAAAACTATACATTTGACCATTAAAAAGCACGAGTAAAGTGGTGGGCATAGTGGACATAAAAGATAGTGTTAGCTCTGCTCTCAAGTGGAAAACAGGAGGGCTGAAGCAGGCAAATACTTGTTTTCAGTGTATATGTCCCTGACGGCATAAAACACAAAACCAAAGGCATGACTGTGTGTTCATTGTCATTGTATTATCCAGCCTTGGAAGAGCAACTGGTGACTTGGTAGCAGTGGTGGAGTTTTGAAGTAGGCTTTCTATGTAATCCTAGTTAGCCTCCAACTCAAAATCTATTTCTTGACAGCTGGGATTAGAGGCATTCACTACTTTGCCTGACCTTAATCTCTTTTTATTTGATATTTACATGTGTCTCATTAGAACCAAATTATCTTACTAGCTTCTGAAATCAAGGTAAGTCTTCTGTGTGCTGAAGGCAGCCTTTTTCTCTTCCAACTCCATTCTTCCTGGAAAGGAATTTTATGATGTGGTTCCTTCTTGCTATCATAAAATGTTTTGGTAAAATTAATTTTTAAAATTATTTTGAAATGATAAAAGTTGCAGAAAGTGTTCAGAACTCTGAATATTGTGTTAGAATTGTTTTCAGTAGAAATCTTTTATTGACTTGTGCTTTGTGATAAATAGCTTTGTAGAAATTCCCCAGTGGGCAAGTTATCTCTTACCTCTTAAATAGTCTGTATCTATCACATTATTAAATTCTAAATGTTAGAGGATATTTTTATATTATCTCCATGTTTTCCAAATGGCACAAGACCTTGAAAAATGTGGAACAGTCTTTTAAAAGAAATGCTGTAATCATACATTGATTTTAAATGACCCTGTCACACGTGAAAACAAATCAGATTGTTGCTCTTAATGAGCTTTTCAATTTACTATTCAGTAGATCAGATAAGTGGATTTAAGAGGTAATGATCCCGCTTAGTACTCAAGCTTGACTGTCAGATCCTGGTAGTGGAGAGCAGTCCCCGAGGACAGAAGCGTTGACACAGCTCTAGACGGGATAATGGGGATCAGAGCTAATGGATGCTAAAAGGAGGAGGACTGTGGGTTAGAGCGCTGCCTGTGCCAGTGTGGACTGTTTGCTCCTGCCTATGATTGCTTCAGAGCTGAGGCTTTGAGAAACTGTTTTGACAGCAGAGCACAACAGACCTGCCTGCCTGCCTAGCAAACTCACAACAGGAAGACTCCTGGCGGGACCCTCAGTTTTCAAAGATACAGTTCAATTGCTAGGTTTTCACCATGGCATAGTGAAAATAAAAGTTAGGTTAGTTCTCGGTTTTGCCAATTTATAAAGTCTTGGAATGTAAAATTTCCTTTTACAGAAATACAGAGTAGTCATCTTATGTTCAAAACAAGAAAATTAACTAGGAGTTAACAGAAAGGAGGAGGATGTGATGAAAATACACCAAGAATGGGCTGCTTGAGATAACACCATATCCCTTCCAAAAACCCATGTGTCACTCAGCTACATCTTCCAGCAGTGTCCAGTGCATTTATGGCATATTTTCTTTATTTGAAGATGATTGTGAACTCAAGAGGGAAAATGAGAGCTTTGGCCTAGAGTAGAGCTCATTTATAAATAGCTTCATTCATGTTTTCATCCTTGGTAAGCACTGGTGCCTTTAAGATTCCAGTCAAGGTGAAGAACACAGGAGCGGCTCTGCAAGAGTGGTGAGCAGAAAGCGCAGAGAGCAGGGACTTGGGGCCACTGTGGTCTGCTTTCACAAATTAGTCTTACATACAGGAGCGCACTGGATAATCACAGTCAAGTAACAGACCAGCTGCTCTCTAGAATATTTTTCTCTCTTCTTTTTTGCCCACAGAATTCAATATATCTTAAAAGGAAGGAAGCATATTTCATTGTTTGATTATTCACATTGTAATCCAGTCTCCATAGGTCCACCCATTGCTTTTTCTATTATATATTAAATACACTTGTCTTAGTTGCTGAGACAAAGAATAAGGTATGATAAAGCATAATATCAGCCCTCAAGGATATTCCAGCATTATAGGAGACCTGGACAACTAAACACTACGATGTGAAAGGACCATGATGGAAGAACAGAGCAGATTCGGGGGAATATACAGGAAAATGCAGCTCACCCTGCCTGGTAGGGCTAACAAGGCCTTTGGGAAGGTGGCTTTTGAATGATGGGATGGGGAAAGGCTGATACTGAGCCAAAGAAATCCTACGGATTACTCAGATCTTCAGTGCTTAGGCTTGAGAGAAATGGTGGAAAATGGGGAGTACTGGGGTCCAAGGTATGAAAGAGTTGAACACCAAAAGTCATTTATGTCAGATTTTCAAGAGGACTGATTTGAATCTTCCTGGCTGTGATATGTAAATTCTACATACTGCTCTTCCTTTGAGCCTTCTTTGTGGTTATAGCATTCTGATTGAGACCATTGTGATTACTAAGATTTTTAGGCTCTCTTTCTCTCCTGCCACAAGTATCTTAGGACCCTTAGTGATCATAGCAGCCTTTGCATAATCATTAGAATACTGTCCTGGGGACTCTGTAGTCAACAGAAGAGACAGTGGAAAATTGAGTAGTAGTTTTCTTTTCTCCCTCTCTGCCCTCCCTCTCCTTCCCACCATTCTGCTCCTTTCCTACTCTCTCCCTCTACAGCCACCCCTTCCTTTTCTCCCTGTACACTTGTCAGGGAGAACTGCTAGCCTGTGGAAGAGGCTTCCAGACTAGAACTCAGGTTGAAAATCTGTAACACAAGGTTCTGATTAGTATAATCTTCAAAACTCAAATACAGTACTTCTGCACTCCTCTCCTGTGTGACCCCTTTAACTCTGAATGATTTGTCTTATTGTGACCTCTGGCAATATATAAGCTAGTGTGTAAATAAAGCTAAGTTGCCATACTTAGTAAATAAACAAATTACAGAAGGTGATAAAATGACAGAAGAGAGATCCCAGGCAGCTGGTGTCTGGCAGGGACAACCTGGAATCCCATCAGAGCATAGTGGCTGTAGAGGTGTTAACTACTCTCAGCTTTGCCAGGCTACCAGGGAATGTTCCATTGGCTGCTGGTGGTATTTCTCCACTCGAAGTGGGATTGTGTGTTCAAAAGCACAGTGTGCCTGAGTTTGAGACAGAAATGTCATACCCAAACTCTGCAACCAGCTCGGCCCACTTAGAAGCTCTGTGGATTCTCATGTGCTGATGTTCAGTCCTACAGTCAACAGTAAGACCTGTCTCTGTGTCTCTCTAAGCTAGAGAGTATTACAGGGGGTGTTTATAGCTGGTATACAGTCTCATGGTTTTCTAAAAATACTTTTATAATCACCTTGCATTATCTTGAATTTTATTGATACTTTGCTGAAATCTAGAATAGGTAGAAAGTTTAGATTGTTTTTGAACATTGTTTTTTAGTCTTTTGCATGCCTATTCCCACCTTCAAGAAAAAAGGTGGCTCCCAACTTTGAGGACAAAGTATGTGGTGTGATCGATGAAGAATGAGTGTGGGTCTGTTTGTGTAAGTATATACACATCCCAAAGGAGAAGTGCTTCCTGTGTGGAAAGTTAATGCAGTCTAGGGTGGTAATGTTTTAATTTCATTAGCTCTGTGTTCGCTCCCTGTTTTCAGTGTGGATGAAGCAGATCTTTAAATTTTAGACTTGTTAACTTGAGTAGTCTTTTGAAATTGCCTATGAATGATGAAGCTTTTAACACTTTTTTGCAGGTGTACGCCCGTATGTCGGAAGTCTTAGGAATAACAGATGACAACCATATTTTAGAAACATTCATGACAAAAATGTGAGTGTCTGTTTTGGTTTTTAATTTTCTTCTGTTGTTTTGAGTCACATATCATCTTACTGTATTTGAATCTCTTAACAATACTAATTTCTAAACAAAATTTTGGCATTAAATTTTAGTGTGTACATTGTTCTTCATTGAAGCTTACTTCAAATACTTAAAACTCACAATCTAAAGGTCATTATCATTTGTCAGGAAGTCCCCGTGGTTATAGTGAACAATATCAGAACATTGTCCTAAAAAGATTTACAGATATTGACTCTATAGTTCAGTTGGGCAGAATTTTGTTTTTAACTTAAAACTAAAAACAAAACACCCTACCTCAAAGACCAATGACCAAAGACCAATTGCAAACTATAGTTATAATCACCTTAAAATAGAACATCCATTGGCTCCAGCAGAGATGTGTTTATAGAGCTGAATGGTTTGTCTCACAAACACACTGTTACATGTTGAACCGACATTGGTATGCTTCCAATTGCATACTGTGTGTCTCATAGATCACACTGTCTTGCTTGCAGGACAAAGCTGGGTCAACACCAGGACCATAAGTCAGTTTTGGAGCCGCCAGATGATGATTCATTTGGGGCAAGAACTGGTTCACTTTCATTTGACTTCCTTTGTGATAATAATTCCTCTTTTCATTCTGTTTGGCTTGATTCTAAATTTAATGTTTCTCCTCTGAAACACTTAACATTATAGGCTGACTAACTTAGAGAATTATTTATAGAACTATTTTAAACTTAAAAGAATTCTATGCCAATGTGCACTGTAGATTGACCATATAAAAGTTTAAATGTGCTATAAAAATTTTTTAAAAGTTCTGTTGAAATTTGAACATGCCTTTCATTTTGTCATTGAGGTCATCTGACTTACATCAAATGTTTGTGTTTCTGTGGTTCTCCATATGCAGGCAGCTATCTAACAATTTAAAACATTGTTTTTTCATATTTAGTGTTACAAACCTCAAGTATTGGGGAAGATGTGAGCCTGTAATTTCAAGGACTCTTCAGTTCCTAAATGACCTTTCGGTTGGATATCCTTTTCATTGTATATGTGATATACTAACCCAGCAGGTGCATTTACATGGCCAAATATTTTTCCCTGCTTCTAATTTTCCAAAATTTTACAATAAAAAGTCTAATTTGTTTAGCCTTATCTATAAAATGTGTGTTTATAATAACTGTGCTATGAAGCATTTTCAATCATAACTGAGCTTATATGAATGTATATACATATATATATTCTTAACTGGCTAGTTTTGTTTATATTAATCTAGGCTAATAATGCTTACATAATAAAGTATGCAACGCTCATGTATTTCAGCTCAAAGTTGTTCATAATTTTCAGAAATTCTTTTTCTGAAAGAAAGCATGTAACTGGCTTGAAGAAGGTCAGATGTTCCTGGGTCCCTCAGGAAGAGCCTCGTGAGCATCAGCCCGTATGGCTTGCACAAGTTGAGACACACAAAAGAGTAATAGAAAGAGGGTCACTGGCTTTTAGCCACTCTTTGATTGTTGGCCTCCTCACCAGGTCATAGTCACACCTACTCATGTTAAGAGTTCCTGTTACACATTAAATAGTTACATATTTGTCTCTAGAAATCTTTTAAAATTTGAAGCCAGAAATCATTTTTACTAGACATCTATAATATTTTATCAATGAGAGCTGGATTGTAGATTGTTGCTTATATGTTGTTAGCTGTAAGATACATAGATATTGTGAAAAATAAATAAACGTTGGTTTAGTTAACCCATAAGATTAGCTGATATTTTAATATAAGAACAAATTCTGAAAATGGTTGGCTTTGGATGAAAACCTTTAATGCAGTTTCATTCCAAGAATATGCTTGTATTAGTTAAGTTTAAGATTGTGTTCCTCCGTAAACCATAAAAGATTTCCAAAGTATTAGACACCCACTTTTGTGCTGGAATTTAATATGCAACTTTTTATTGGAAAATAATCGTCCTTGTCTGGCAAAATCCACCATGCAATATTTCTGTTAGTAGGTATAATGCAATAAAGACAGGGAGGGCTATTTATCACTACAAATTTTGAGGATTTCAGGATTCTTTTTATTATTTTAATATATTTCTTTGATATTAAATCAGAAAAATGATAAATTACACCTGTCCAGGCTGTTTTTCCTCTTTACTGAAAAGTGATGTACAACCCAATTCCAGTGGTCATTTTGGCTTTTTAAGATATGTATTTTTTCTTATTAAAAAAACTCAACCTGTATTTTTTTCTAATAATGGTGCTGAAATACTCTTTATCTCTAACATATGAAGTGGTTGATAAGTACTTCATAGTATTGCAACCTCTCCAGCTTTTCACAGTGAATTACTGTGAAAGTGTGTTATCTGGAAGAAGGCCTCTGATTGTAGAACACAGACCTATTGTTTAGATTCACTCTGGTTTCAGTTTGAAATTGATATTTAATATAAAATTAATTTGATTTGTATTTTAGTATAATTTGCATAATGCCTAATTTATTGGTATCTATTAAGATACTTTTTCTGTTATCTATTTTAAGTATAACTATTATAATCTTTTCTAAACAGTTTATTTCTTTTGAATACCTCTTAAAATTAATTTTAAAAAGTCTTATTTTCAAAACATTTATTAGATAAAGGTTAAAGGTTATAACAGATATGAATTATTTCCATGAAGGTACATTGATTTATATTTTTTAACAATTATTTCAAGTTTGCATATTTAGAAATACATATTAGCTCAATTTGATTTTGGTGCTCAGTTATTTGAATTATAAATCATTATGTCCCTTCTAGCTGATCAGTCATGAAATATCTTTGAATTCATTTACATAATGGAATATGTGCTTGGTGTATCCATTTCAATGCAGTCTCTGGCTACCTAATGTGTGTTTTGTTGTTCTATCCAATTTCATTATTATATGTGTTTTTTAATCATGATCTCAAAATAATACCTTATTTTTTGTTAAAAATACAATGGCATTCTTCAGCTGTAGGTAAGTATCATCTGCCTTAATGAAAAGCCTTATGTTGATTCTCAAAATAATTTAAAATATTATTAACCAGTCAATGAAAACCATGTTGTGAAATTTTTTCACTTTTCTTTATAATGCATGTCCTTGTTTTGTTTTTGTTTTCTGTTTTGTGTGCTTCAGGTGGCTGTCATTCAGTGTTCAGAACACTCAAAACCAATCTGTAAGCTTTGGTTATTTTTCCTTAATCTGACTACTTTTTTGGAAACAAATTACCAAGGTTTTTGTTTTTTTTTTTGTTGTTGTTTGTTTCTTTTTTTTAAGTAATTACATAAAAGCCTGAAGTTCCCTTAAAGCAGTGGTCAAGCTTGTTTGAGTATTTGAACATGATGTCTGTTATCACGTCATTAGCCCTCCTCCCCACCCCCAACAACCAGCACTTCTCTCTGTAAGGCTCTGAGCAGAACCTGAGAATCTGCCTCTTTACTGAGTCTCTGTGCTGCTGACTGGGGACATGTTTGCGAACTTCTTTCTCCCTTGAAGAGTTAGAAAATAGGGCTGAATCGTATGTCCTGCTTAAAAAGCCAGGCATTTCTCCTGAGGCACGTCTTCATTCAGCATTGTTTGAATTAAATAAGGCAGCTGTGACAGATTAGAGATCATCTGGCTCGCTAAGTAATGATGTGGAAACTGAGTGTTCATGAGTAGATAACCTCTTACCTTTCCAATAAGGTATTGTTGGCCTACTCTGAACCCTCTGAATTGATGAGAGTTTGTAATGTTTAACTCCAAAGACCCTTTTGAAAGAACTTTTATATTTTCCCATCAGATTCATTGCCCAGGATGGATATATATTATATCTAGCAAGTATATTTGAATAACTTTTAGTATAGTCTTAGAATTTCCACAAGTAAAATTCAAGATTCTTTGTAGTTGAGCTAACCTGCTCCAACTGGGTCCAGCCTTCCACAGTAGGTCAGTGCCTGAGATCCTCCCTCTCTGAATTGTTTACACATCTGAAATCTAGTTTCTATCTGGATGGAAGATGGTGAGATTGTCCAAATGACTGCAGTAGGGAAGCTGCTGGGAAAATCAGAGAGTAAGGGTCAACAAAGTGCTCAAATGTAACTGACCTTGCAAGCCAAAAGGGACGTGGGGAGTCTCTCTCTCCAAAGTCCTGATGTTTGTCAACTGTCCCTTGAAGCTTCTTCCCTTCTTTTGGAGGCTAGCTGGTCAATATTTCTAATGCAGTTCATCATTTCCTCAAATTGATAGCAGTCACACCTCTCACTGTGGGTTCACAGGTAGAATAATGAGAAAGGAAGTTCTATTCTTTACCAGGCTACTGTTGGTATTCACCCCTTTTTACATAATCTTTAAAGGTTTGGGAAAGGCCAGACTGTCTTTCACTTTTAAAAACAGATCCCTGGGTATGGGGGCAGAGGAGGGAAGGCTGGAGATGGCTCAGTGAGGACCTGCTGCTTGCTGCTCTTCATGGGAGGAGCAGGATTGGATTCCTGGCAGCTATGTCAGGTGGCTCTGGTGCTGATAACTCCAGCACCAAGGAATCCAGCATCTTCTTGTGGTCTCCTATGTATCCATACATATAGGGCATATAACTAAACACACACACACACACACACACACACACACACACACACTCACACTCACACTCACACTCACACTCACACACAAATAAAATTAGACCCGCATAAGAAAAGGTTCTATGTTAATTTTTTAACTTTATTTTCAACAGGCTATGGCACCAGTGATTTCTTTATTATCGCAAAAACACCTATAAATTCTGAGGGCCTAGCTCAAAAATGAAAACTGGAAGGTCCCTTCTTTAAAATTATTGATAATGTCAAGACCTCCAACAATAAAGCTTTAAACCACATGAGGCATTTCTAAGTCTGGAGCCCTGTGTGAATGTGTAGCTCATACACCCAGGGAACTGCCCTGGTTATCTGTGATATAAAGAAATCATTCCTTTTCTTTGGCTTCAGACTATCTCCCTGAAGATAATATTTACTCCAAGTTATTAAAGATAAATAGTGATTTTTAGATTTGATTCTACACTCACCTTAATTTGCCGTAGCCTCTTGTTCCCTGTCAATTCAGTTAATAGTAGTCATTTGCCAAGTGCAGGACGAAAGAGCAGATTCTAGACCCTGCCCTCAGCTCTCAGTTCTACGAAATTACCCTGATTTTGGACCTCTTTCCATATTTCTCCTCTAAGATCCCAAAATCAACTGCTTTACTAACATACATTTTTAATCTAACTCAAATTATATACTAATTTTTTGGAAATTTATGTGTTAAAAAATAATGTGGGCATGTGACAATGATAGGACTGGATTTTTACACACATATTATGTGTACGTGTGAGTGATGTGTGCAGTACTAGTTTTTCAGCTAGGGTGGCAGCCAGCCATTGCCAATGATCCTCCTGTCTTCACCACTTCAGTGCTGGAGTTACAAGTGTGCTCAAGGCTACCCCAGCCTTTAGCTGCATGTTGGAATCTGAACTCTGAGCCTCATGATCACACTGCAAGCCCTCTTAACCACTCAGCCATCTCTCCAGCCCATGGTATTTTGAGGAGCCATTTTTATTAGATAAAGCTAACATACTATATGAAATATATTTTTTAAATTACCAGATACTGTGCAGAGTAGACATAACCAATGAGGTGTGATTCATGAAAGAGATGGGAGTCAGAAGAAAATACAGGATGAGCGATGAAACAACAATATAGAATAAAACAAGTGAAACATGCAAATAAAGCTGTGTGTTGTAGGAAATATTTAGAAATAAGGAATAGTAATTCTACTTTTGTGAAGGTATTAAGTTTAATACATTGTTTTCTTTCCCTGAATACGCCTCTCTCAAAATGGTGTGAGAGAATGTTAAATAAAATTAGTTTTCAGAAGCGTCCCTCAAGCACACTTTTATTAACATCTCTCATCAAGTGTTTTTTTTTTTTTTCTTTGTCTATCTGACATGAGGAAAGTCATGATAATTTAGCTCCTGTCTGATAGTTTTATACTAGAGTCAAGTATGGGAGTCT